ATATAAATAAATAGTAAAAAAATAAATAAACCAATGTGGATTTTTCAAATTATATTATTTTGGTTTGCCCAATAATTCAGTTATGTATCATTGTTTTTATATTCCTAATTCTCTTTCATTTTTATTTCATCCATATAGATAGATAGATAGAGAGAAAAATGTTTAAACGAAAACACTAATTATTTAAGAAAAATAATAGTGTATAATATATATATATATATATATATATACATACACATATATATATATAGATGAACTTGTTTGATTTACATATGAACTCGTGTAATTAACATATATATGAACTATTTAATTGATTCACATAGGAACCCATGTGATTTACATATGAACTATTTAACTAAACATATGTGAATCAGTTAACTTGTTTATATGTGAATCAGTTAAATAGTTCATATGTGAATCGTACAGGTTCACATATGTACATATAATTCATATGTGAGTCACATGAGTTCACATATACACTTGTTTGTCGTCTATTTGTAAAAGTTACAAAAAACTATCCCTTTTATTTTTCGCATAGTTGTTACCATGCCGTAAAGGAGTAGAATCATTTTTTTACTTTTTAAATACTTACCATTTCTCAAATGAATCTATGGTTATATATATATATATATATATATGTGTGTGTGTCTGTGTGTGTGTGTATAGGGAAATAATATTTTGAGAACCCAATAAATTGTGATAACCTTAAGAACTGATGCATCATATGCTATTTCACGTGATTTTTTTCATCTATGGCTTGGATTTAATGTATTGATTAACATCTATTTGTTCCACAATGTATTTGTTTTATTTGTATTCGTTTCACAATGTAAAACATTTTAGTTGCATTTTTTATTTCACAAACATATAAAAAATGTTCACATTATGAAACGAATATATGTGAAACAAATATATGTTAATCAATACACTAAATTCAAACGATAGATGGAAAAGAATAACGTGAAATAACATACGATACACCAGTTCTTAAGATTATCACAATTTATTGGAATCTCAAAAGATTAACCCTATATATATATATATATATATATATATATATATAGGGGCTTAATCAAATGAGAATTAATTAGTTTATGGTAATCATGAGGTCAAATCTCAACCACAAATCAATTAATAGATAAATTAGTAAAATTATAATTTTGGTAATTTTGAATTAAAATTTTAATGCAAAGACATTTTAGATATTTTAAAACTCTTCTCTCTCTCACTGTCCTCCGGTGATACCACAGTGGTATCACAATGTATCTTATATGTGCTTGGGTATCATACTGAGGTTATTTGTGTGGTCGATCGAAAATGTAACACAGTGGTATCACAATGCATCTTATATGTGTTTGGGTATCACACTGTGTTTTTTGTTTAAAAGAGTCAATATTTTTAGGTATCACGGAGGACGGGGGACGGAGAGACAAGAGAGGAGAGAGGAGAAAAAATACCTAAAATATCCTTGCATTAAAAATTTAATTCAAAATTATAAATTTTCTAATTTATCTATTGATTTGTGGTTGAGATTGGATCTCACTGTTATCACGAATTCTAGTTTAAGATTTTTTTTATATTACCACTTTCTCAAAACCTCATAAAACCAATGTTTACTTAAAATTCAAGATTACAAGTAAATTATGCAAAAGTACAACTTATCAAA